CTTTGCTCTTTTTTTAAAAAAGTCCTAGAATCAATTACAAAAAGAATAGAATGTACTATGCATGCCGTGGCAGAGAAGGAATGTCAAATGACGTTGGAAAAAGAGTGAGACAAAAGTCTATTCTGATTCAATATGAGAAAAAGCGACAGCCACTATTATAGACACAAATCTCGTTCAAGATGTGTGACCGTTGGGTTAGATTCGAGAGTGAGGTGATAATAAGAGTGAATGTAAATATACTGTGTGTGTGTATATATATATATATATATATATATATATATATATATATCCTTTCTAATGGAGAATTTCCCTGTGGCTCTGAGAACCAAGAAGACAATAGAAAGATGAAACTATTAGATTTCCAGCAGAGCTCGAGATACATATTCTTTACTTTCCAAAACTTCAGATCCTGGAGAGGAGGAAACAACAAAGTTTCACACAGGAAGCAACTGTGCTGGGAAGATACATGATGCATCATGCTTGCTGTTTCATGTTCAAGCTTCATGTGGCTGATATTTCTAAAGTAGCCTCAATGGGAATATGTTTTCATTGATGGGAATATGTAATCATCAACAGAGATAGTCAGTGCTTTTCTTTTGGAGGGGAGTGATACAATGAGGTGCCAGCAGTCATATTTTGATAAAAGTGCTATGGGTACCAGCACAAAATGGCTGCCATGGGCAGCAAGAAGGGGAGAGTTGGTGGTTCTCTGTGTACCATCACTCAAACACACATCACAGAACACCAGGGATAATACAGTACATGATTCCCCATTGCAGAAGTGAGACCTTGAGTTATAGATGTTACTGGACTACAGTGTTAAGCATAGTAATTTAATTCACTGAAATTGTGAATGCTTGTATGCATTACTATGGACTTAAATTTGATGGGTTGGTGACTGAATTCTAGAGAGTTCTCTAGTAGTTCTCGTGTGATTGGCTAACATTGGTCACACGGGAGGTATCTAGTGAAGGAGAGGCTCCATTTTAGGTGAAGCAAGATGACTACGTTTTAGAATCCACTGTGAACACTGCTAAGTTGAATAGAGTGTGGGAGTGCTTCTTCTCTGCTTGAAAGAGCACAAAATTGCAGGAGAAGGTAAAAGTGGAAATCTCTTCTAGGAGCTGCAAGACATGGCCTAATTGAGATGCAGAAGGCTAAGTACTGAGCTCTGGAAAGGAAGGAAATACGGTTGCTTGGAAGTTAGAGGAAGAGACTGTAAGCCCACGCTCAGATAAGAATGTGACTGTAAATGTGATGTTTTAATTCATCTATAAGTTTCTGCTAGTAAAGTTTTTGAATGTTCATGGTTTGGTTTAATTTCCAAAGAAGGATGTCACTCTATTTGAGCTTATTCCCTGCAATTTTGCTACTGTTACTTCAACATGGGACGCGGGTGGCGCTGTGGGTTAAACCACAGAGCCTAGGACTTGCCGATCAGAAGGTTGGCAGTTCGAATCCCCAAGATGGGGTGAGCTCCCTGCTCCTGCCAGCCTAGCAGTTCGAAAGCACATCAAAGTGCAAGTAGATAAATAGGTACCACTCCGGCAGGAAGGTAAATGGAGTTTCTGTGCGCTGCTCTGGTTCACCATAAGCGGCTTAGTCATGCTGGCCACATGACCCAGAAGCTGTCTGTGGACAAACGCCAGCTCCCTCAGCCAATAAAGCGAGATGAGCTCCACAACCCCAGAGTCGGCCACGACTGGACCTAATGGTCAGGGGTCCCTTTACCTTTACCTTTTCTTCAACATACAGCTCCCATTATCCCTGACCACTGGCTAGGGCTGAACTCACAAGCCTGACCAGAGGATTTCACCCCACCATTGAAGGCAATAAGACCTGCGCCCAGAATTGCTATGGGATGTTGCCCAAAACAAAAAGTTCAAAGCAAATGTGGAGGTTCATATTTGAGGAGAAACACCAGAGGGATTTCAGGAGTAGTGGGAGAAGCACATTCTGACAAGGCTAGTGCATTTTCTTGCGGATGGAGTGAGACCTGCATCTTCTTAAGCTTGTGAGCTACAGCTACAGAAAGGATCATAGTCAGGGGTTATTATTTTTTTAGCCGGAACTCAGGGAAACTCAGTTCTGGCACCTCTCATGTGCCATGATACCACTTTAAACCGTCATGGCTTCCCCCAAAGAATTCTGGGAGCTGTCGTTTCTGAGACTTGGCAAGAGGAGACCCCTGTTCCCCTTCCAGAGGCTACAGTTCAGAGTGGTTTAACAACCTGCCCCTCTACACAGAGAGCTACACAGAGTTAGTAATGTTGTTTTGGAATTAAATAGATTGGGAAAGGTAACTCCTTCTCCAGAATAATCCATCTGCTTCATTATCTGTGTACTCACTGCACAAATGATATGTGAAAATGGATTTGCACTCTAATTTAAATGACAGGCATGCACTGCCCAGCAGTGACGATCCACTTTCAATAAACTGCCAACAAAACAAATTTAATTTCAATGTACTTTAATCATGGAAGGGAAAAGAACTGTGGGGCTGGGAAGAGGGTGGCTTGATTCTTCCTTTGTTAATATGCTTGGCCCAACTTCTAAAAGGAAAAAAATAATAATGTTCAGGCTCCACAATGGCTTTGTCAGAGATGTCATGGAATCAAATTAAACCGATGCACTTTCTTCCAGATCTTCATTCTGACTGCCTTTTAAAATTATTATTTTATTGGCGTACTGCCCAAGGCGAAGAAATGGTAAGTTACACTAATGCTGCTGCTGAGTTTTGTTTTGCGATTTTTTGCTCACATGGACCCATAATTCCCGGTGATTCTTGCTATTCATGTGTGAGAAGAGCTGCTGCAATTTTCAGGACCAGCATTATCAGATTAAAACAGCGTTTGGTAGCATAATGCAACAGCATGTGACAGAGTCAAAGAAGGTCTTGCCAGATCTACAGCTTCGGAGCTACGGCCAAGGAAGACAGAAAACTTTTCCAGCCACAATCAATCAGAAAATTGTACGTTGCCCACGAACCTCCCCAAAACTCCAAAAACAGCAGCCGGTTCACTGCGATAGCGATCCTGGCTTCCTTCCCCCCTCGGACCAAACTGGAAGTCTGTTCAGAATTGCAATAGCTTCTTAAAGGAAAGAAAAAGAAGAACGTGGAGTTGTTGTTGTTTCCTCCAAGGAGCAAAAGGTGATTCTCTCCATCTTCATTTTACTAGCCAGTGTTGACAATAGAGGCTGGGTGGTCTCAGTATAAGACAACTATTTGCATAGGACTTGAAACGAACAGAAAAGGTGCAAATCTAAAAACATGTTTGGGGTGGTTGTGGAAGGGAGTGGGTATCTGGCATCTTTGTTCCTGAACACTATATCACCACTTATTTGTTTTCTGTTTTGGTATGTTGCCGTACAAAGGTCCGTATAGCTAAAGCTATGGTTTTCCCAGTAGTGATGTATGGAAGTGAGAGCTGGACCATAAAGAAGGCTGATCGCCGAAGAATTGATGCTTTTGAGTTATGGTGCTGGAGGAGACTCAAGAGACCCATGGACTGCAAGAAGATCAAACCTATCCATTCTTAAGGAAATCAGCCCTGAGTGCTCACTGGAAGGACAGATCCTGAAGCTGAGGCTCCAAGACTTTGGCCACCTCATGAGAAGAGAAGACTCTGTGGAAAAGACCCTGATGTTGGGAAAGATGGAGGGCACAAGGAGAAGGGGACAACAGAGGACGAGATGGTTGGACAGTGTTCTCGAAGCTACCGGCATGAGTTTGACCAAATTGCGGGAGGCAGTGGAAGACAGGAGTGCCTGGCGTGCTCTGGTCCATGGGGTCACGAAGAGTCGGACATGACTAAACAACAACATGTTGCCATATGAGAAACACTAGCCCAGGCATAGGCAAATTCAGCCCTCCAGATGTTTTGGGATTACGATTCCCATCATCCCTAGCTAACAGGACCAGTGGTCAGGGATGATGGGCATTGTAGTCCCCAAACATCTGGAGGGCTGAGTTTGCCTATGCCTGCGCTAACCCGTCCCTGAAACCCACTGGACTAATTTCCCAGAGTTTGGAACTTGGCCCTGCCTCCTCCGCGCAGTTGTTACTCACCAGGATCTTAGCATATCCCTGCTTCCCACAGCCCACCTCTGTATACCAGAATGAAGCATCGGGAGAAAATTCTGTTTTTTGAGCTATTTCCCTTGGGCAATAGCCTGAAGTGCCTCGAGGGCATAACTCCCCATTCAAATTATTTTTTAAAACTCCATGACTGTTGTTCCTTTGTCCCCAACCCCATAGGATCTGGTTTTAAAAGGTGTGCCCATCAATTGCTTCCTCCAACCTTGACGAAGGCTCAGTCTGAATGAGAGCACTTGATGCAATCTGAAAGGTCTGCCTTCGATATTTGCTCAACAATAGCTCATTCATATCACTTGATGCTGGATCATCAAGTCAAGGAACTGGGCCTTAAGCGTGGGCTCACTCTGATGCAGGCAAGTCTGAAAAATGTCAGGATGGAACTGTATGTGCTTCCTGGTGTGAGGAGAGGGATCAAGCTCAGGGTTACAGAGTAGGGGGTGTGCGATTTGGGCAAAGAGTCTCACCTTTTCGAGTTGGATTGTACCATTAACAAGGCTTCTCAATAAGTGGCTCTGTGACTCCATATCTCGAAGTAAATGGCTGTCTGCCACCCCAAATGAAACCACAAGCAGAGCTTGAGAATGGAGCGAGTGGAGAGGTCGTCCTCTTTCAGCAAATTATTTTCCCAGAGCACTGCTATATTTAAAACTAGCAGATTTCAAACCTCCCCTTTACATTGGTACCTCGGGTTACAAACACTTTGGGTTACAATCTCCACTAACCCAGAAATAGTACCTTGGGTTGAGAACTTTGCCCCAGGATGAGAACGGAAATTGTGCACTAGTGGCACGGCGGCAGCAGGAAGCCCCATTAGCGAAAGCACGCCTCAGGTTAAGAACGGTTTCGGGTTAGCTGGGGTTAGACCGTCGTGAGACAGGTTAGTTTTACCCTACTGATGATGTGTTGTTGCGATTGTAATCCTGCTCAGTAGGAGAGGAACCACAGGTTCAGACCACTGGTGTATGTGCTTGGCTGAGGAGCCAATAGGGTGAATCTGTGGGATTATGACTGAACGCCTCTGTGATAGGAATTTTATGGTCTTAGATATATGGTAATGTTCATAAGTGTACCAACCAAGCACATACATACATAGATAAGAACAGGAAGGCCAACCTGGAACCATTTTGATTCCTAAACTGACCAAATGTTTTCTCTGCAAGGTCAAAGTGGGAAACCTCCCCATTGTCTCTTTCCTCACAAATCCTGTCTTAAGGTCACATTTAAGATATGAATAGGGTGTGAGCCTGTGACCTGGCCCAGGAACTAAGTATTTATCATTACAAAAGACTGGCCAGGCTGCCCAGGCAATCCAACCAAGTAACCTGCCAGACAGGAAATAAACAAGGACAGGAGAAAAACAACATTCAAATTTCTGTTTAGACCGCCTTTTCTGTGATGTTTCTGGGGGTGGTCTTGATCTACAGGGTGGCAATTTCAAAAGTCTTTATAAGGCCTTGCACACCATTTTTCTGGGTCCCTCCTCTCTCCTGCAGGTGAGGGGAGCACCCTGTTGCAACAGATCAATAAAGATCAAGCTTACTAGCTGCTTTGCTTCTCAATATTCTCTGGTTGGCCTCTGTTATTCTCTCCTACCAATAGGGAACCTATGTAAGGACTCTATATGGGCTCTTGGATACCCCATAAGGGAAAAGGGCAATTTTTGTTTACAACACCTCTAAGCCAGAATCCCCCCTAAACGTAATAATGCCGCAGCACTGCAAAGCCACAGTTGGCCTCAGATAGCCAGTCCGCCGTGCGTGCATGCACGTGTGGCGGCCTGGTGCGGAGAGCTGTCCGCACTGCATGTTCGTGGGGAACCCAGTGCTAAATCATTCATAGACGACCTGATTCTGGGTCAGGGTTTGGTACGTAGCAAAGCAGTTCCCTTGCTGCGATCTATTGAAAGTCATCCCTCGACACAAGCTTTTGTCTCCCTGGCCGGGGAGCCAGCAGGCATGCGGGCGAGCCATCGAGCAAACGATGGAGTGCCCGGGCAGGTGAGCCGCTGCTCCACTCCACCCACCCGCCCACCCAGGGTCGGGTTCTGTGCGTCCCTCCCTCCATCCTCTGGTCCTGAACGCGCGGGCCCCAGGTGGGCGGCGGAGGTGTCCGTTGCGGGTGAAAAGAAAAGAAAAGAACGGTTTCAGGTTAAGAACAGACCTCCGGAACAAATTAAGTTTGTAGCCCGAGGTACCACTGTATTTGCTGTGGTTAAAGGGGAAGGTTAAAACCAGCTTGTTTTAAATATAGCATTATGCATTCCTGTAGGCAAGTCAATGGAGAGACCACCATTGTGCCCATAAAAATACATTTGTGGGGCAGCGTCTCATCCTCACTACTGACCCTTAGGGGAACAGAGTCCTTGCTGGGTGGTGACATTTCCCCCACCCCAGTGTTTCCTGGAGATTGATACTATTTTCCCACCACATCCCCCTTGTTATTCTGGCCCCTACTAGGCCTGCACGCTCAGCAGTTATTTTTAAGTATAATTGTTTAATTGCCACTGAAATGAAGAATGCCTGTATGTATATTGCTGAAGGTGTTTAACACTGGAAAATTCCAATGTGGTATACTAAAGTTAAAAAGCAGCTCTCTGAACTTCTAGCTGGGTTAATGATTAACTGTTGGTGTTCTCTGCTCTTTCACATGAGTGTTTAACCTTAGGTCCCATGGTTAATGCACCATCATTTTGCAAATCACCATTTTGAAGGAGTTGCATTTATCTTTTGTTCCCTGGCACAGCGGAAGAAAGATGTGCAGATGAGTCTATCCAGGAGGAAAAACTTCAGGCTGGAATGGAGGCTGATGGAGGCTGTAAGGAGAGAGAGACAGAGAGACCTTTGAATCTAGGTCCATTTAAAATTACATTATATTCCTAAAGAAGATGCTGAGCCTATGCTTTGACAAGTGTATGTCTTGAGGAACTACTTGGATGTATCATTTGTTATGTACTGAAGTTCTCACCCTGGGCCAGCAGGGGGATACTGTAGATAGTTCAGGTCCACAAATGCAAATAAGGGATCAAAAGTGATGTTCAGTGATTGGATAGTTACAGAAAGTTGTTACAGTTACGTTGTGCTGGAGCTCTATATAAGCAGGCTGACTGAACCCTTCAGTTCAGTTCTGTTCTGACCTGTGAATAAACAAGAACTGTTTGGAGAATCACTGTGTTGTCTGATACGTTCACCCACAACTTAACATCCTTGATTTGATTTTGTACCTTGGCAGTGTGAAAAGATTCACAGGAAATGGTTGTGATTAAGCCAAAACAACAGCGAGAGCCTTGTCTCATCCTGTGCAGAGAACTGCGGATGCAGACAGTTTCTCTCTGTCCCACACCCAGGTAGTTCATGGGCTATGTTTTATGTTTACATGAGTAATGGAATAAATGGAGAACTGGTGGAAAAATCAAACCCCCTGGTCCAATTGCTGATCAGAATAAAAGGTGTGTGCAGTTCTTTGGGGACCTGTTATTTTTTTTGGGGGGGGGGCGTGCTGGTGACTGCATTGTTTTTGTTTTTCTTTCTTCCTTCCTGCCTGACACCTGCCATGCTCTGCGTAGCTGAAGGCCACAAGGAGTTTATCGATCTAATATGCTGAGGAACATAAAACTGTTTTCAAACTTGATGAGCTGGAAGGAGTTAGGAGGAGATTTGGATCCAGATTCAACTAGGAGGAGAGATAGTTTCATCTGGCAAGCAGAAATGATGGAGTGATTGCCTTATCTCAGTGCTGAATTCCACCCTTACGCACACTGGCAGCTTTGTCTGCGCTATTTTATTAGTTCACACCATTAGTAATAACTTGGTTAGTGCAAATTATGTCAATTTGCTTTAAGTTGCTTCAAATGTCATCCCATGTAAGTGGCTTTGGAGCTGTTTTATTTTCAAACCATGCATTTTATATAATCTGCTCTCTATAAGTGCTGTAAGCTTTCAGAGTAGCATTTCATAATTCCATTAAGCTCTGTGCAATAACAAACTGAGCGATTTGACCCAGCCGCAGCCCTGAGTGTGGATTTTAGTGGTTAAGCTTTACTTCCTGTTCTACTGGGTTGCTGCCGAGAAAATTTGAAACTTGATTGCAGGAATCAACGAGTGTTAGCGCTTTTTGGCACCCGTCTGTCTCGGGAGACAATGGAGGAGTGCGCCTTTGGGGGTGAAGTCAAACCACTGGGGAGTTACAGTGCCTGCTGTGGCTGTAGAGACCGATAGGGGAGAGACATGTTTTGTTGCAGCTGGGGCAGAGGAAGATGTCCGGTTGTGCTAATGTAGATGCACCATGACATTTCTTCTCTCTGCGCTCTTCCCAGTGGTCATAGCTGTGGATACATGACCAGTCTGCCTGCAGGCACTGTGGTCATCTGTAGGGATTAGTGTTATATTCCCAAATTTTACTTCCAAAAAATAAATCAACTATTTAGATCATGCCTATGGGGTACAAAGCCACCAAAAATATCACTACATAAAATGCAACTTCCAACTAAGGAAGGTGGCTTTGGTCTCCCAAATCTGGAACTATATCACCAGGCCTACCTGCTGAATAAGACTAACGACTGGAGAGCTAGCAGGAATCCCAATTGGGCTACTCTCGAATATAGTTTCTTTGAACCTCTTGTAGGGTGAACTAAACTCGGCTCCAATTATATGAAACATCCTATCATCCTGGAGACTATTAAAGCACCTATAAAAATTTGGATGAATATAAATAAAAATAATAAGGATGAGAAATTAACAATATGGGCCAACCCAAAATTAAAAATTGGAAATCAAGTAGTAATTTGGCAAAACTGGATGAAAAAAGGTATTTTGACATTGAATCAATTAAATGATGAAAATTACAAATTTGTGGGACATATGACTTTGCAAGTAAAGTATGGATTAACCAGTGAAACACAATGGCAATACATCCAATTGAAACATATTTTGGAAAGGCAGTTTGGCCCTGACGCTATAGCAGCATCGGAAACACCCTTGCTGCTACAAGATTTAATTTCTGCAACAAAAACAAAGAACTCTACACTTGCACTGTATAGTGTTAGTGCACCAATGAGGATTTTGCATGACGTGTACTGGCCTGATTTGACTGGCCTCATTTCCTGCTTGGCAGGGGGTTGGACTCGATGGCCCTTGTGGTCTCTTCCAACTCTATGATTCTATGATTCTATGACCAGCCATATCCTGCTGATCCTGCTGATAATGCCAGCGGCCAAATCCTGCTGATAATAATGACAAGGTTGCAGGTTCAACCCCTGTACAGGACGGCTGCATATTCCTGCATTGCAGGGGGTTGGACTAGATGATCCTCAGGCTCCCTTCCAACTCTATGGATTCTATGGCGGTCGTCTGCCCCCACAAGCAGCCTAGCTGCTGAGTTCTGCACAAGCAACAACCTCTGGACCAACCTCAAGGGTAGCCCCACATAAAGCACATTGCAGTAATCCAACCTTGAGATTAAGGGCTACAGCTCATGGGTAGAGCATCTGCTTTGCATGCAGAAGGACTGAGGCTCAGTCCCTAGCATCTCAAGGGAGGGGTGGGAGAGATTTTTGCCTGGATCCGTAGAGAGCCCCTGCCAGTCTGAGCTGGATGGACAAATGGTCTGATGTGGTATCAGCAGTTTCCTACACAAGGCATGCAAAACTGTGGTCAGGCATGAGAAAATTTTTTGAAAGGGTTTATTAATAAAAGGGTTTTAGTAGCTGAACTTCCCTTCCTACCTTTGACATTCTCAGTGCAGAGGTAGAAAAACCCCAGAGGCGAATGCAGATGGGAAAATCACAGGATGAGATTCCTAACCCCATCTTGACACGCATATTGCAAGCCAGAATTTATTTTCTTCTGATAGAATCAGGTCATTGTATACTCATACTAATAAGGCGCTGGTGGGAAAAGGAGGGAGAGAGAAAGCCACATTGCAGCCATGCACAGTCCGCAATGGTAGCCAGGATGCAAAAAACAAATTATGAATACATTTGGGGCTCGTGGGAAATGATGTTCCCTAATTGATTTCCTTTGAGATGTCTCAGATGTTAGCAGCTCAAGCCACAGATTAGAGCAGCTTGGTTACAGCCGAACAGCAACTCTTTATCACCCAGGATCTCACAAATGAAAACAAGAAGACAGCCGTGTACTTGTCTCAGATCTGGCACTGCAATGAATTTTCGTGATGTTTGGGGTGTCAGAGTGAAAGTTGCCCATGGTTAGGTCTGTGAGGGAAGTCCCTACCCAGTGCTGGTTCCAGGATTTAGAGGCCCCCAGGCATCTTGAGTAGGCTGGCTTCTCTGTATTTCCCAATTTGGGTTGCTTAATCGGTAAGTTCTAATTACAGGAACAGAGGAAACTGTCTAATTCTGATCTAGGCCATTGGTTGTCAGAGACCAGGCTGAGGAGTATTGCTCTGATGAGGAATGGTGGGAGCCTCCCACCCCCCAGCTCCTGACCAGGATCCTGAAGCTGCCCAGGAGCAGTGGAGAAGTATAGATTTGGAACACGGTGGTTTGCTGAGGGGCACAGTTCTGAAGACAAAAGTTGGGATGAACTGGGAGGGTGAACAGCAAAGTGAAGAAGAGCACAACAGAAGAGGCTGAGGCTGTGTGGATACATACTAAAACTACGGATTTATTATTTATTATGGCCATCCTGACTCGGCCCCAGACACACTGACCAGATGTTTGGAAGCTGTGGCTGGATGGTTACGCGGAAGCCGGTTGAAGTTAAATCCTTCGAAGACAGAGGTCCTCTGGCTGGGACGGGACGATATGGGATTGTGGGCAACTCCCATCTCTTGCGAGGTGCAATTAGTGCCAGCACCGTCCGTTAAGAGTTTGGGTGTAATCTTCGATACCTCCCTCTCTATGGAGGCGCAGATTACAGCTATAACAAAGGCGGCATTTTTCATCTCCGCCAAGCTAAGCAGTTGGCCCCT